GGCGCCTGCGGCCGCAGGCGCCCGCAACCGAGGAGGGAACCGGCCCCCGGGGCCTCGCCGGTGAGGGCCGGGCGCCCTCCGCTGCTGAGGGGCCGGTGTCCGGTGAGGGGAGGGCCGGGCGCCTGTGGAAACCCCTGGCTTCTACCGGGGGTGTATTTTTTAACGTGTGTGTGGAAAAAAAATCAACCAAACATTCCAGCAGATCGGGGGCTGCTGCGAAAAAGAGGATTTTGCTGGTTTTTCTAGTCGTTCCCCCCCAAGTTTTTCCCCTCAGTCTTTCCCCTCAGTCAGTGTAAGCATCTGTTCTGGCTGAATATCAAACCTACCTTTCCCCCCCCCAAGTTTGTTGTTTGTTTTTTTTTTCCCCAAACTTTGGTTTTGGTTTTGTTTTGTTTTGTTTTCTTCTCTATTTCAAGCTTTTTCACTTCTCTATGTAAACACTACCACAGTTCCAAATTCCTAGAGAGCAAGACCATTTATTTCCACGCGAGCTTTCAGTTAGACGGTCTCCAAAAGGCTTCATATTTTTCCTAAACATCTAAACATAAAACGTACTATCCAGGGAAACGGCACCCAGAAACCTAATCTACCTGCCATCTCCCACGTGTGGGTGTCAAATAATTCAGATTTTCTACTTTAAACTATAATATAAGTATGGAGAGGAGAGGGAACGCATTCAAACATTTATTCTCTCCTTTGCGAGGTAGGTGTATTGTGATTTATTTTTTATTTTGCTGCTGGTACAGATGACTCAAATACTGGTGAAGATCAGCAGCCACTTAACTATGGAAATAACGTATGCACCTGCTCATATATGAAAGTCAAGCTAATAAAATTAAGTATGCCATTAAGAAAAAAAGACTGTATCCTGTAGCAGCTTGATGGTCAAGGAGCTGGTTTTGTTACTTAGGTCTCGGGTTACCAACATGATGTCAAGAATTTTGAAAAATCTTGTTTTCAGGTCATTTTAGTGACTGGAACACAACCTTTGAATCTTATTGCTGATTTCTTTAACGAATATTTGAGAAGAGGTGAGGGATGGAGGTTTTTTGTTTGCAGCACAACCTGTAGAATTTAGAAGCGGTGCCTGTTCATTCAGCGAATCGATTTGCTGACGGGGGGGGTCATCGTTAATCAGTGGCTGTGCCTTCGCTGTGCCCATCAGCTATCGTGAGCTGACAGAATTTTTCAGAGTGGCCCAAACATGTTGCTTTTTTGCGCAGAGAGAGCAAAGGAAACGTGTAATCTGCAATACCCACCCCTCAGATTTATGCGAGTCCTTGTTCTGCGGTTTAACACATCCCTTTTGCTGGTTGTGATTCTGCAGTTCTGAATCTTCTTGATAGCTTTTCTGCCCCAGAGTGTCTTAATTTTTTTTCAGTTTCATGGACTTCTGTCCTGTCCTTCACTTTGAGATCTCCTTGAAAGAAGGATTATTATTTTGTGCATGTTTCTGGATCATCCGCAACAATCTGTTTTGTGTGAGCTTGACTTTAATATAAATATTAAGTAATAATTTTGTTATTGTTTAAAGATCTGTTTGTTGTGTCTTGTTCTTTAGCGTCTACAAGCAACAAATCTAAGTACTTTGTTTTTTTTTAGTAGCCTCTGGGATAACATTAGGTGTCAGTCCACAGCCAGGGAGTGATTTATGCCTTCCTACTTTAGACTGGAGTGAATTAGCATTTAATCAGGTCGTCCTTTTACTTCTCTTCCCTACCGTAAATTGATACACACAAGAAACAGTCCAGAGCGTGTTAATAACCCAGACTGGGACTTGTAATATTGATTTTATAGATGTAGTGTAGCTTTGCATGCCACAAGAACATAATACGTGCTTTTGCTGCTAGATTTTCCCCTTGGGCCAGAGCTGGACTATCTGCCCTGGTCACAAGAGGAGCTTTGAAAGCACGTTGTCTGTAGTAATGAGCTGGCCCTGGATAAACTGCAATTCCGACATCAGGCTGCTTCCACGACAGTAATCCCATTGTGGAGTTGTCCCAAGAGGATACTGTTGGGTGCCTGCTGGCATGCGTGGTTTTCGCTGAACATAATACGTGCTTTTGCTGCTAGATTTTCCCCTTGGGCCAGAGCTGGACTATCTGCCCTGGTCACAAGAGGAGCTTTGAAAGCACGTTGTCTGTAGTAATGAGCTGGCCCTGGATAAACTGCAATTCCGACATCAGGCTGCTTCCACGACAGTAATCCCATTGTGGAGTTGTCCCAAGAGGATACTGTTGGGTGCCTGCTGGCATGCGTGGTTTTCACTGCTAGAGAAGGTTTTACTTTTCCATTTTTTAAGGTATAAGTTAACACGCAAATATTAGAGTTTGCTGATGCAGAAACATGAAGCAGACATAAGGAAATGACTCATGCTTCGTTAGTACTCTTGGGGAAAACGACATTTTTTAAAAAGTTGTTGTTACTGGAGATTGTTCTGTCATTGTGGTGTTACTCTTGAGATAGAACTTCATGTATCGCTTTATACATGCAAGATGAGTTTTGATATATATTGATTTCTTCTTTAGCTTAAACACTAAAAATCAGTTTTTAGAACCAGAAGTTCGTGTCACTGCTGTCAGTTACGTGTTCTACTGTGTGGGAGATGCAGGGGACGAATAATCGTCTCATTCCTGATTGACGTACTCAGCTGTGACCTCTCTGTTATATCTGGAACGGTGGGATTCCCTTCCTGCTCCTTTGTGCCTGATTTCACAGAGTCACAGAATGCTATGGGGTTGGAAGGGACCTCTGGAGATCATCTAGTCCAACCCCTTGCCAGAGCAGGTCCACCCAGAGCAGGTCCCACAGGAATGTGTCCAGGTGGGTTTGAATGTCTCCAGAGAAGGAGACTCCACCACCTCTCTGGGCAGCCTCTTCCAGGGCTCTGCCACCCTCACAGGAAAGAGGTTCCTCCTCATGTTTAGGTGGAACTTCTTATGTTCAAGTTTGTGCCCATTCCCTCTTGTCCTGTCCCTGGGCACCACTGAAAAAAGGCCCCATCCTCCTGACACCCACCCTTTCAGTATTTATAGGCGTTGATCAGATCCCCCCTCAGCCTTCTCTTCTCCAGACTAAAAAGCCCCAAGTCCCTCAGCCTTTCCTCATCAGAGAGATGTTCTAGTCCCCCCATCATCTTTGTAGCCCTCTGCTGTACCCTCCCCAGCAGTTCCCTGTCCTTCTTGAACTGGGGAGCCTAGAACTGGACACAGTATTTTTCCAGTGTGTTTATATCAGAATTAATTTGCCAGTGTCTGTCTGTGCTGAATTTTGTGTGTTATCTAAAGTCAACGTTACATGATGGCTGAAGACTTCTATTTTTTTTTATTCTTGGTTTTAAGTATCCCCCTTTTTCTTTTCATGTACCTGCATTTACTTAGAACCAAACAAGCCCATAAGTTATTAAACACAGAAGGCTGACCTTTGTTTTTTTGCTGTTCCACATAAAGTGTTAAAGTGTTTTTGCTGATATGTTGACACGGAAGCAGAGCAACATTCTCAGGGGAGTTACATGTCAATACTCATTTGCGGATAATTAGAGAAGTGTATACTTGCTGTATTGCTCGTGTATAATGTCTCTTAGCTGTTTATGTCAAAAACTAACACCCAGTTGCTTTAAATGTGTTGCAGATGGGCTGGAAAATGTACAGCAAAAGAAAATCTCGGAAGAGAGTATGGAAAGGACCCACCAGGGAAAAGAGCCATTTCCTGCTGATTCGGTGGAATCTCTGATGGTGGAAATGCCGTTTGTCGACACCGATATCGAAGAGGAATTTGTTAGTAAGTAGATATTGAAGAAGGAATTTGTTGGTGGAAATAGTGTGGAAGCAGAGACATGTCACACACTCAGTTCTTGGTCCTGCTGCTTGGTCTGTGCAGGTGGGCATGTGGAACAGGGTCTCCCTGTGAACAGGGTCTAGTCCAGAACCTCTGTTATGGGTATTCAGTTCTGCAAATACTGAATATTATTATATATTAAAAATATATATTAAAAATTTACCATTTTGTGATCCATTGCAGCAGTGAGTCACAGAGTAAAGACATTTCTTATGCCAATTCACATCACTGTGTATGAGCTGCTCACCTGGTGGCTTTTATGACCTGTCTTCCAGTATGTGTATTCCCAGCATAGGGCTAGATGGGACTAACTCCCATCATTAGTGCACTTCTAATTGGGCAGGTGATGTCTGCAGCCTGCTCAGCTTATCAGGCCTTGTGGTGGAAGAGGGTCTGCAAAGTCTTTAGGAAATAAGCTGGGAGAAGAATAATTTAAGGAAGAATTGAGGAGACGCACTTTTCTTTCGCTATGTTGGAAGGGGTCTTTGGGAAAGGAGGAGGTAGAGAGTAGATCTGGCTTGGATTAAATTTTCTTCTTGAAATTTTTTCCCAATATCCAATCTGAACCTCCCCTGGTGCAACTTGAGGCCATTTCCTCTTGTCCCATGGCCTGTTCCTTGGGAGAAGAGACCGACCCCCCCTGGCTACACCCTCCTTTCAGGGAGTTGGAGAGAGCCAGAAGGTCTCCCCTCAGCCTCCTTTTCTCCAGGCTGAGCACCCCCAGCTCCCTCAGCCGCTCCTCACCAGACTTGTGCTCCAGACCCCTCCCCAGCTCCGTTGCCCTTCTCTGGAACCCCTCCAGCCCCTCAATGTCTTTTTTGTGGTGAGGGGCCCAAAACTGGACACAGCCCTCGAGGTGGGGCCTCCCCAGTGCCCAGCACAGGGGGATGATCCCCTCCCAAGTCCTACTGGGACTATATCGAGGTGCTGGAGCGAGTGCAGAGGAGGGCAACGAAACTAGTGAAGGGCCTAGAAGACAAATCATATGAAGAGCGGCTGAAGGAGCTGGGGCTGTTTAGTATGAGGAAGAGGAGGCTGAGGGGAGACCTCATCACTCTCTACAACTACTTGAAAGGACACTGTAGAGAGGTTGGTGCTGGTCTCTTCTCACAGGTAATTAACAATAGAACGAGAAGGAACGGCTTCAAGCTCCAACAGGGTGGGTTTAGATTGAACATTAGGAAGGAATTTTTCACCCAAAGAGTGGTCGGGCATTGGAACAGGCTGCCCAGGGAGGTGGTTGAGTCCCCATCCCTGGCTGTGTTTAAGGGCCGTTTAGATGGGGTACTGAGGGACATGGTGTAGGGGAGGACTTTGTAGAGTAGGGGAGATGGTTGGACTCGATGATCCCAAGGGTCTCTTCCAACCTCAATGATTCTATGATTCTGTGATTCTATGATTCTATACTGCCCACGCTGTTCCTGACACAGGCCAGGATGCTGTTGGCCACCTTGGCCACCTGGGCACACTGCTGGCTCCTGTTCAGCCCACAGGCCACCAACACCCCCAGGTCCTTTTCCACCAACGTCTTTGTTTTCATTTGTCTGTTTGCTGAAAGTAATCTTTTTTTTCTCTTCAGTGTGTGCAACTCCTGAAATAAATATGAAAACAAAAAGGAAGAGGACTACTGGAAGAGAAACTGAAGAAGGCAGCGAGAGAAAGAAGAAAAAGAATAAACAATATCAGCCGAATTACTTCATTTCTCTTCCAATTACTAATCCAAAGGTGATACTCTTTATTATACTAATTTGGTATAACCAGAATTACTTCAACAGCTGTATGTGTTTATAAGAAGAACAGTGTTGGATCTTGAGCAAAATCAATTTTTGGGGGGTATTTTTGAAGGATATTATCAACCTATTCAAAGAGTAACTTTCTGTTATGTAACATTTTTGTGAATAAAATTTTTTATCTGGAGAATATTAGAGGAAAGATATTTATCCTTTGATTCAGTTTGTCAGTCCTGTGGATTTCACGTTATTTTGACTGAAGCTGGCTTAAATTTCCCCTCTGTACTAGTCCAGTGTTGCTTATTTTGAGAATAAGGAAGAGAGACATCCCTGTTTAATTTAATAAGAAAATCCCTAGCAATATTTTTAGCTCTCCTTATAGAGGGGAATTTAAATTTGGATCTGTTGCTGTGTTAACTAGGTTTTTCAAATGGATTCAAGAAGTGCAGAGGGCTCTTTTAGAAACTGTATTTTTTTGTAGTTATGATGTGAATGGGGGTGATTTCTTACACGCTGTGGGGTGTCTCAGGTCACCTTTTGTGTCTTGCATCATTTACAGAGCTAAAGGAACAGCTTTATTAAATCTCAGAGTGTTTGGGAATTCCAGGACTTTGCTAGAAAGTTTTGTTTATACTTGCCTTAGACGTAGGGTTGTTCTGAAAGTAGAAAATACACGTTGGAATTTGTAGAGGCAAGATTAGCCAAAATTTAGAGTTAAGACACCTGGTTTCTCGATAGCCAGAGGGAATCTGGTAATTACTGGAAGTATTTCAGTTAGTAACAAGAGACCTTTCTTTTTGTTTGAGGGTCTGATTTAATTCCAGTGAAGCTTTTTGGGCATGAGTTCTCTTTCTTCGTATATTATATAGAATTTTAAGCTTTACACAGACAACCATATTGTAATAAGGGATATTTCTGGAAAATTTAATGACCTGTTCCTCTTGGAAACTGAATATTTTCCCTGTTTTCATTTTAATTGTGTTTTGCATCTTCATGAATAAAATGCGGTGTTCCATTAGTTTTGAATTTCTATTGAACTTTGCATTATTGTTTGTGCAAAAATAGTTACATGGGTGATTATCCATATTATTGTATCCGTTTCTGGTAACTTTTTTAACTTATCACTTGGTATGTTCACCCCCTGTTCCTCTTGGAAACTGAATATTTTCCCTGTTTTCATTTTAATTGTGTTTTGCATCTTCATGAATAAAATGCGGTGTTCCATTAGTTTTGAATTTCTATTGAACTTTGCATTATTGTTTGTGCAAAAATAGTTACATGGGTGATTATCCATATTATTGTATCCGTTTCTGGTAACTTTTTTAACTTATCACTTGGTATGTTCACCCTTCAAGGTCTTGGTTATATTTAAGCTGTTAAACCTTTAAAGCTTCCAGGCTTTATTTTCACTTACTAGTGGTTTCCTTACAATAAGCAAAACTAAGTTATTTTATTACTCTTCAGAATAACATCTTCCAAGTAATGGGAGAGGAGAGCTTGAAATCACTCTCAGTCTTCTTTGTTTTTCAATTTCTATTGAACTTTGTATTATTTTTTGTGCAAAAATAGTTACATGGGTGATTATCCATATTATTGTATCTGTTTCTGGTAACTTTAAAGTTATCACTTGGTAGGTTCACCTTTCAAGGTCTTGGTTATATTTAAGCTGTTAAACATTTGAAGCTTCCAGGCTTTATATTCATTTACTAGTGGTTTCCTTGCAATAAGCAAAACTAAGTTATTTTATTACTCTTCAGAATAACATCTTCCAGGTAATGGGAGAGGAGAGCTTGAAATCAGTCTCACTCTTGTTTCTTTTTTGCCTTTATCAAAAAGGCAGGTTATTTCATATTTTTCTGGTGGGTTCAGCAATAGCTTGTCTCTGAAACTATTAGTCCTATTCCAAAGGGATGTTGTTAATTAGTTTGTTGTTTGTTTTTTTTTGCCAGCTCTCAGGTGCAAATTAAATTTAGAAGCAAGAGTTCAAAATGGAATAAAATTGTAATTCATATGATGGATGATTTAACTTTTGACGTTTGTTTTGTTTGGGTTTTTTTTTTGTTTTTTTAAAGGGGTAACTGCATTTGCTTTAGTTTATAAACTTAAATAATTACGCAGTCAATACATGGTAATTATCAGAGCATATGCTTATCTGTTTTTTGCTTATGTTTTTTTTTGCCAGCTCTCAGGTGCAAATTAAATTTAGAAGCAAGAGTTGAAAATGGAATAAAATTGTAATTCATATGATGGATGATTTAACTTCTGACGTTTGCTTTGTTTAGGTTTGTTTTGGTTTTTTTTTATAGGGGTAATTACATTTGCTTTAGTTTATAAAATTAAATAATTATGTAGTCAATACTTTGTAATTATCAGGGCATATGCTTATCAGTTTTTTGCTTTAAAAAAAAAAATTGGTTGGTTAAATTTCTCCTACATCTGAGACAATAGAAGTGTTATTTATCCAGGATAATTTCAGTTCTGACAGAGGAAGGAAGATGGTCTTCTTTTTGATTTATGAGCAAAATTGGTGCAGTTTTCTTTATGTCTTACCCTACCTGAGGCACTGGGGGTTTTGTAGATGCCAGAGCACCTTTTTCTTACCTTCCTTCCTCCTCCCCACCCTCCTTTCAGTTATAATTTTAATTTGGTTTTATTTATTCAGCCCTATTAGGTGTCTGTGGCACATGAGGTGAGACTCCTGCATGGCAAAACTCATCTGAAGGAATTTGGTCTGGAAACTGCTGACCATTCCCATTAGATTGTGGTTTTTCAGGAAATTTATGTGTTCTTTATGATTAACAGAGCTACCAAAATATAGCAAGGCTTGGGTTTTTTTTAAAACCTAAGAGCTACTTGTGCTTATGCTATAGAAGTGAATATGTACAGTATGTTTGTGAAGCATTCAGCACTGAGTTTCAAGTAAAAAAATAATAAAAAAATCAAATTGAAGTCTTCTACAAGCTTCTTTTAGATTTTATACACCAGAGCTGACGTGTCTGTGATGTCTTTGCTTACCATGCTTTATGAATATAACTCATTTTGTCAGATGGTCAAGGTTATTGGATTTGATTTAACTTCCACTAACATATTCAGAAATTGTTGCAGGTTTTTGAGGGTTTTTTTCTGTGTTTTGGTGCTGTTTTTTTTATGAATCACTACAACAAAACTATCGTAATGGCAAGCACAGTAAACATTTTGGATACAATTTATAAATCATGTATAACCATACACATATTTTTCAATGAAGAAAATGTAATTCAAATAATTTTAAAGGGAGAGACTGATGAAGTTAGAACTGTGTACATACATGGAAAATCATTAAAATATGTTTGAGGAGAGTACGTAGTGTCTGGTGGACGGTATAAACAGGATTGTAAATTGGATATCTCTACAAATTATTTACTCAATCTTCCTGTTTTGTGAGTGCCCAATCCTGCAAAGATCTCCTCCTTTGGGGTTGGACTGGATGATCTCCAGAGGTCCCTTCCAGCCCCAGAATGATAATTCTGGATCACAGAATAATAATTCTGTGAATTCAGATAATTCTGAGTCACAGAATGATAATTCTGTGATTGTGTCGTTCCAGACACTTGTCTGTGTGTAGCAACATTCCAGTTTAGCAAAGTGGGCAGAGGAAGTCCTTGAAGAAGAAGAAGGGAAGATCTTAATCCACTCCAGGAATTTATCATACTTCTGGAAGGGAACTCCTATTCAGATGTGATGGGGAGTGTCCAGTGATTTATTAATCACTCCATTAGCACCCACTTTGTACCACTCAGGTCAATTAACACAGCTTATCAGAGGATAAAACTTCCTTCTGCTACGGTGCTTTTTACATAAACATTTGATTTCAATCTGTGTGCTTTCCAGTTTGCTCCCGTGATGGGATACAGTAATTGTAATGGCTAATTGTTGTCTTGTGTCTGTCCTTCTTCCCAGATCACCCACAACGTCCAGGCTCTCCAAGATGCAATCCTACAGAAGGACCAAAGACTTTCCAAAGCCATGGTTGGCTCTGGCTCGTTGCACGTCACCATGTTTGTGATGCATTTATCCAACGAAGAAGAAATTAGCACGTAGGTATTTGGCGTTCAACTAAGTATATACAAGTGTCTAGAAGCTGGAGGACTCAATAAAAAGACTAGGAGGAGTAACTGATGCTTAGTTTTTTTGTCAGCCCTAAATTACTGGGGTTACTAAATATTTAATTCATGTTGTTCTTAATCTTCATAGTAGCCATTTTCATAATTTATGGCATGTCATGAGCTCTGAATAAAGAATGTTTTTTTCCCCTTGCATTTTTCATACCGTGTGCTGAACTTGCGTGCACAAATCTCATGCTTCATGAAGTAATTATTTTAAGGCAATGTTTTGATACAGGGGACACAGGAACAGATTAACAGGGGAATTTTCAGAATGTCGTAGCTTAGCAAATTTATAAGACAAATTAGTAATTGTCACTGAAAGACTTTAATAAATAAACATTACTTCCAAGCTAATGCCTCATGCAGTTGCAGTTTGGCTTTTTTATTTAAGTACCTTAAAGTACTCTATTTATATTATTTATATTATTTATATTTATATTATTTATATTTTATTTTTATTTAAGTACTCTAAAGTACTCTGTTTAAGTACTTATTTATTTAAGTACTCTAAAAGAAAGGTGGCTCTTAGGCATTATCAGGCGTATATTTTTTATGTTGCTTCAATGATACAGCTGATTTTTTTGATCCTATAAAAGGTAGGAAAGGTGTGGAAAGGTGTATGTATTATACGATGATGTCATGTGTCTAAGTGTTAGATGTGACTACTTTATAAAAATGCAGATTTTTAGTGTTTTTTGCTGTTTATCACCTGCTGTACTGCTACCGGATAAGCCTACTTTAATGTACAAGTTCAGTGGTTAATAGGAAGATGGTGAGATTTTTAAGCCCGTCTCTACAGCTGCCATTTATGAAGGCTCAGAATAATAATTAGCATGTCCAGCTTTAATTTTGGCTTGAAATGAAAACACATGTTGTATTTTGTAGTCCTTTACACAGACTTCCCCAACAATTCCTGTTTAGCTGCGGTGCCCGATGGCCTGCATGTGAGATGTTTCTATGTTTGCATGTTGTAATGGCAGAATTGAGATTGCAAACATTTACACAGGAACAGATTAACAGGGGAATTTTCAGAATGTCGTAGCTTAGCAAATTTATAAGACAAATTAGTAATTGTCACTGAAAGACTTTAATAAATAAACATTACTTCCAAGCTAATGCCTCATGCAGTTGCAGTTTGGCTTTTTTATTTAAGTACCTTAAAGTACTCTATTTATATTATTTATATTATTTATATTTATATTATTTATATTTTATTTTTATTTAAGTACTCTAAAGTACTCTGTTTAAGTACTTATTTATTTAAGTACTCTAAAAGAAAGGTGGCTCTTAGGCATTATCAGGCGTATATTTTTTATGTTGCTTCAATGATACAGCTGATTTTTTTGATCCTATAAAAGGTAGGAAAGGTGTGGAAAGGTGTATGTATTATACGATGATGTCATGTGTCTAAGTGTTAGATGTGACTACTTTATAAAAATGCAGATTTTTAGTGTTTTTTGCTGTTTATCACCTGCTGTACTGCTACCGGATAAGCCTACTTTAATGTACAAGTTCAGTGGTTAATAGGAAGATGGTGAGATTTTTAAGCCCGTCTCTACAGCTGCCATTTATGAAGGCTCAGAATAATAATTAGCATGTCCAGCTTTAATTTTGGCTTGAAATGAAAACACATGTTGTATTTTGTAGTCCTTTACACAGACTTCCCCAACAATTCCTGTTTAGCTGCGGTGCCCGATGGCCTGCATGTGAGATGTTTCTATGTTTGCATGTTGTAATGGCAGAATTGAGATTGCAAACATTTTGATAACTTTAACAGAATATCACCCAGAATGCTGATAAATGGCTGACTGGCTTTAGAGGGATGTCTGGGAATTCTCCAGTGCTCATGTGTCAATTTGCTACCAAATTGCTAATGAATCAAACATCATCAGGTCCTTGTAATTCTGTGAAAGAGAAGCCTCAGAGTTTCACCTCCCCCAGATAAGTTCTTTCAGCAACCCTCTGTCATATATATATAATATATATATATTTCATATATATATATTATATATTTTAAATAAATATCTAAAATATATAAATATATTATTTATATATTTATATAAATATATAAATAAAATATACTAAAACGTGTTTTTTTCTGCAGTGTTAGCAGGCATGTGGTCCATGAATTATCTTGATCAAATAATAAATAGGTTCAGTGGGCTAGGGTTTGGGTTAGGGATTGGGCTGAGGTTAGGGTATGGTAGTACAGTTACAAAATAATGTATCTAATAAGTTTGTGTTGAATAATTTTATCCCCTGGAAGGTTTGGCTGTTAAAGTGCAGATTGCTCACAAGGAAGTAAAAATTCAAGACAGAATACAGGAATCATTTGCTAGTCACAGGCATACTTGTGATAAGTAGAAGTATTTTGGCTAAAAACATTTAACACACCTAAAAATAATGAGATATCAGGATATCTAAAGCAATTGCCCTGCTTGTTTTTCCTACTTCTTTCCTCTAATGCTGTATCCTTGGGGCCTCTGTGCTCTCCCCTCTCCTGGGAGGGTCTCCTACACCTGATGTAGAGGGTGAGAGACATCCAGGAACAGGGAGTAGAAGGGAAAGCAGAGGACATTGGATCTGCTCCCTGTGCCTTCTGTCTCCTGGAGTGGTCACACCAGTGTCCTGCTGCCCTGGCTGATGGGCAAACTGGGGTAGCACGTGAAAATGGGTGAGAACAAGCACTGACTGCGTGGGTGAGGTTTTTTTAAAAGGGTTTGAACCATGAACTTTTAAAAACAGGGATTGTGAGAGGCTATCTGAAAGGCAAGCATGCCTCCTTGTGAATGTTTTAGAGTCCTAAACTGTGTATCAAAACCAAATGTTCCCAAGTTCAGTATCTTCTGCTCCTCCTGGAGCTCCTTCCCACCTCTCCTGGTCTGACTGCCACCCACACACGTACTCACGGGGTTCTTCTCTGCCTCTCCCAGCAGAACTCCCCGCTCCAGGCACCCAGGAGCTGCTCTCTAGTCAGCAGAGCTTCCCCAGTGACTCACCCCTTCCCTGCCCAGATGCCTCCTACAGGTATCTAGCTCAGCTGTTTCCAGGTATTTGCTATTATATGGGATTTTTTAATTTTTTTTTTTAATTTTTATAACTGATGTTTTATGTTTAATCTTCTGGGAGACTAAAAAAGTTGACTTTTCCTTCCTGTCTTTGCTTCACCGATTTTTGATACCAGGTTCACAGGAAGAAAGCAAGATCCAGGCTGGCAAAAGGACCTGTGTGTAATGTAGGGAGAGGGTAATCCCTCAGACAGCATCAAATAGTTCACAGATCCTTAGGTTTGGATCCTTTAATTTAGATCCCTGCAGTTTTTCTGCTGTGTTTGCACAATAATGCCATTGCCTATACAAAAATGAAATGTGTTGGATGCTATTTGAAGTCAAAAGGTGTAATAAGAATGTGCTAATGTGACAGTCAGTTCAGCACAAACCCTTTGTATGGTATTTACAAAGCTTTTACCCCAAAAATGGAAGATCTGTGCTCTCTGCCCCTCTTTCTAAAAGAATCTAGACCAGCAATACCCATGGGAGTTTCCTGACGGATTGGTGGTTCTCTACCCTTCAGGAGTGCACTTTACATCTCTTTTTGTGGGACTATATGAAATGTGAGGTTTTGGAAACCAAAAACTAAGGGAGCAGGAGTCATGCAGCACTCCTCCTGGTCCCTGTGTGTGTGGGCATGGGACTGGGTACCACAAATCAGGCTGCCTTTGTTACCAGACTCCAGTGTCAACCTCTTCTTGCTTGTTATTTGTAAAAGACTCTGTGAGTCTGACCTTTCAGTTTGGGCGTTTTTAGAGATTTGGGTACCACAAATCAGGATGCCTTTGTCACCAGACTCCAGTGTCAACCTCTTCTTGCTTGTTATTTGTAAAAGGCTCTGTGAGTCTGACCTTGTCATTAGATGAGAGCTGAAAGGATTCAGTTTGGGCGTTTTTTTGTGAGGTTGCTTTTTCTAACAGGAAATCCAAATTAACAATTCAGAAATTCCTAAAAAGAAACTACATCAATTTTAAGGGCTTTAATACTTACATTCCACCAATACAGAAAAAAAAAAAAACCAGGCACTGCTTCTATAATCCTACAGGATTATAGAAGTATACTTAGGATATACTACTTAATGCCAATTTTAAGGGCTTTAATACTTACATTCCAACAATACAGAAAAAAACAAACAGGCACTGCTTCAATAATCCTATAGGATTATAGAAGGATATTTAGGATATACTACTTAATGCTTTTTTTTATATATTTCCTTTCTCCACTTTGGAGCAAAACACTTGTAAAGTGTTTTGTTGTCCCTGTAGCTTGTTTGCACTGACTGTTTGTTATCTTAATTACAATTTGGTGGAGAATAACAAGAAAGTTAATGCTTTTTTTTATATATTTCCTTTCTCCACTTTGGAGCAAAACACTTGTAAAGTGTTTTCTTGTCCCTGTGGCTTGTTTGCACTGACTGTAACTGCTGTTTGTCATCTTAAATACAATTTGGTGGAGAATAACAAGAAAGTAATACTGTGGTATTACTGACTTCAGTGGAAATATTTGTCCTTGTGCATTATTCTTACAAAGCAATTGTTAGACGTTATAAAGTGACTGATAGAATATGAAAATATGAAATATTCTAGAATGTTTAGCTGGTGAACAGAGCTTTCCATGACTTTCTGTGTACTAGTTCTCAGCTGCAAAAAATCCAGAGACTACTTAAAAATTGGAATATCTGTACTTGTTTTGGAACAATTTTCGTGTTCACATTGGTAAATAAATCTACTCATGATTACCTGTGAAGTAATCTGACAGGTACAATTGGCATTAGATGGTCTTTTTGAAAGGAATTGAAGTACAACAACATAATGAAGATGTAGAAACAGGCTTGTCTTATGGTGATAGAAGGGTAGGTCAGTGGCAGTGACAATGCTCAAGGAATTACCTGTGAAGTAATCTGACAGGTACAATTGGCATTAGATGGTCTTTTTGAAAGGAATTAAGTACAACAACATAATGAAGATGTAGGAACAGGCTTGTCTTATGGTGATAGAGAGTAGGTCAGTGGCAGAGACAGTGCTCAAGGATAAAAAATATCTTTGCCAAGGACCAAGTAACGGTGTTGTTGTTTAAAGTGGTTATAGAGGAGCTAAAGCAGATTCATGGAATGGTTTGGGTTGGAAGGGACCTTAAAGATCATCCAGTTCTAACCCCCTGCCCTGGGCAGGGACACCTCCCACCAGACCAGGTTGCTCCAAGCCCCATCCAGCCTGGCCTTGAACCCCTCCAGGGATGGGGCAGCCACAGCTTCTCTGGGCAACCTGGGCTAGGCTCTCACCACCCTCACAGCCAAGAATTTCTTCCTAATATCTCATCTAAATCTCCCCTCTTTCAGTTTAAAACTCTTAATCCTCATCCTATGGCTCTTGTCCCTGATCAAGAGTCCCTCCCCATCTCTCCTGGAGCCCCTTTAGGGACTGGAAGGGGCTCTAAGGTCTCTCCGGAGCCTTCTCTTCTCCAGGATGGACACCCTCAACTATCTCAGCCTAAGTACTTCTAGGTTGTAGATTTAAGCCCAATAAAAAAAAAAATCATGGGAGGACTATATCACTCAAGGATATTTTGTCATGTCATCAACATCTTCCTTAATCTGGCTGATGTTTCAGTTAAATCAACAATTCTCATCAAGAGTCCACCTTGTGACCCACAATGAAAGCATGTGTAGGGTTGTTTGTAAGTGTACAGGCTTAAAGAGTATAATTTAGCCTGCTTTAGAAAACTGTTGTGATGGCTTTGGTCCAACTGGGACAGAAAAAAGGAAAATAAACTCTCTGGAGAGTTTGTGACCTGTCGCTGCCATCTAGTGTTTATAAAATCAGCGTCGGTTCAGTGAAAAGTTTAAATTTTGTTGAATAGAACTGAAAGTTGTAAGCATGTGAGGGCTCTTTTAGAAGACACTCAGAATGTGAATCGCTTCAAGTGCAGGTCGAAAGAAGTATTTCATGCACATGCACTTAATGTGGCTAATGAAAATGATTATTAAAAGGTTACCAGATTTTTTCCTGTTTAGGTTAGATGTAGATCATGTGTGCACCCTACTTATCTCTTAAAGAAAGTATCAATTTAGATAGTACTTCTTTTAATAACAGTTCTGCATGAGCTTAATAGTAATTCCCATTTAATTGTATCATTACACACGTAGTCACTAAGCTCTGTTTATGATACTGAGTACCACACTGTAGTAACTTGGAATGAAGCAGAATCTTAAAGTGTTCACCTGAGCTATCAGGAGGTGAAAAAGAGTGAATTAATTTAAGAAGGGAAAACCAAAAGCTTCTGAATCAGCATCTTATTTAAATGGGATGCACAGAGTGATAGAGACACCATCATCTGAAGATCTCCTCACCGTAAGGACAGAGAGCAGCTCTTTTGAGGAACTGCTGTTAGATCTGCCTTGTTATTTCTGTGGATTTAGAGCAGTGTATGAATATGAACCAATCTGCCTTTAGATAATGGTAATAACAATACTGAGTGCATGGGTAGGAAGCAGTGCAAAAGCACCTCAGTAGATAATAAATTGATACTAACAAATCTTGCTGACATTTTTGGATGGAACGATTAATAGCAATGTGAACAGTATTAAATGTATTTGACTTTTACATAGATACTTTCTTTCCTCTTGACAGAGCAGCTGATGCTCTTTCAGACAGCAAGGATTTTGTAGAAGATCTCCTGAAAGGAAAAACGGTGGAATTGTCTTTTCAAGGAACGGATCACTTCCAAAATCAAGTTGGATTCGTGAAGTTGGCAGACAATGATCACAAAACTATACTTCTGGAAATAGCAGGTACAAGTTCTCCATCCAGTTAAAGTGCTTTATGGACATTTGGCTGAGAATGGAGCACAAAGATAAGTTGGTGCTAATTTAGTCAACATTCATTTACCTTTAACACCTGCAAAGGCTACGTGATTAATTTCCCAGTGCAGTTCAAAAGGATATTAATGAATTACAGGCAGCACTGTTTTCTGATACCTTTTTATTTAGCATATGTAAAAATCATAGTGCAGATGTAAAAAGCATAATGCAGCTTTGTAGATGGATATGAAAACTCCATCCTACCTTGTTCTGGTCCAAGCACTGTGTGGATCCCTTTCACCCTTTACACCCCTTTCAATTTTTATACTTATTGACTTTAAGAACTGTATCTTTGGTGAATTTTACCTGACTTGCAGAATTCCATACTTCTCTCTTAGGGCTACAAAGATGATGAGGGGACCAGAACATGTCATAAACTCTCTGGAGAGTTTGTGACCTGTCGCTGCCATCTAGTGTTTATAAAATCAGCGTCGGTTCAGTGAAAAGTTTAAATTTTGTTGAATAGAACTGAAAGTTGTAAGCATGTGAGGGCTCTTTTAGAAGACACTCAGAATGTGAATCGCTTGAGGGAATGGGCACAAACTGGAACATAAGAAGTTCCATCTCAACATGAGGAGGAACTTCTTTGCTGTGAGGGTGGCAGAGCCCTGGCAGAGGCTGCCCAGAGAGGTGGTGGAGTCTCCTTCTCTGGAGACATTCAAACCCACCTGGACACGTTCCTGTGGGACCTGCTCTGGGTGGACCTGCTCTAAGAGGGGGTAGGATTGGATGATCTCCAGAGGTCCCTTCCAACCCCATGTGATTCTGTGATTCTCCTTTGTGCTCATGCTGCCTAGAGCTCTGAGACAGGGACATTCTTTCTTCTTCTGTGCTCTGGGGAGTCTGTACATTTTGTGTTTCCTTTATGATACAAATACCACTTTGAAATCTCAGTGAATTAACTGTAAGTTACCACTCCCATGTGCAGAAGTGCATACACACACACACAGATAAGTTACCACTCCCATGTGCAGAAGTGCACACACACACATATATGTGTATATATATGTACTTTGTATATGTAGCTCCATTTCTGTATAAAGTAAAATCTGGCCTTTCTCTGCACTCCCAGAGAATAAGCAGAATTCAGAAGAAAGAAGGACATGACTCATCTACCAGAGCAACAGAGTTGGGTTCCAGACTGCTGTAGCTTGAAATATTATTTTGGAGCAGTTGTGGAACCAGCCTGTGGCTTGTTCAGTGTTAATTACCTTCCTTTAGCAATTAGGAAGTTACTGAAAGATGTGGCAGGTACATGCTACAATTCATGTGCAATCACATGTGTGCTGCAAGAGCAAAACTCTCAGTTTTGTTTTAAAGATGGAGCTCAGGCTGCTGCCTTTGCCAGTCTGATAAAATCCAAAATTTTAAAATTAAAAGATTTAAAATTTAAAATTAAAAGGAGTGTAAATCCCAGCTGAGAAACAGCAGTTAGTACCTCCACCAAAACAACATTTTGATCGGGCTGTGAGTCCGTCCTTGAACTATGTTGTTTACAGCTATTAATTAAATAAAATTTCTCAGAGAACAGTACTGTCTGCAGTCCATTGGTGTCCTTTGAAACCATCCCGGCAATTCCAACTATTCCTTGGAAAGACTCTTTTATTTCAAAGAGTTTTTCAGTATTGATGAATTATCTTTTGTGCTCTGAGGAATGTGAGGTCACACAATTTTTTAATAATGCAATAACCCATATGGGACATTTTGCAGAGTGGCAGAGGCTGCTGCTGTCACGCAGCAATTTAATTTCTGAAGTGCCTTAAGAAAATGTTTAGTATTTTTTAACTTGAATTTTTAAGGAAAGATTGAATAGAAGAGCATGAGCTTTTCAGCTTACCAAAGTGCTTGTGCTGTTATTGGGCAATGCTTTATTATTTTAAGCAGCGCTCAATAGAGAAGTATTTTTACTCTTCAGTGTGGTAGAAATTGAACAGTACTTACAATTCCAGGAAGGCTTTGGTTGTCAGATAATCCCATAATTATTTCCAAGATTGAATCTACCAAATACTTCTTCAGTCCTTTGGACTATTTGCGTCCTCATCCTTACTCTTGAGTTTGTCTTTAGATTTCTTTCAAAGGTGAGAGAATACTTTATTTTGCTGTTCTATAAACAGTGAGCTAATTCATAAACTTGGTTCTATTTCAGTTCCTTTTGTGAAAGGAGATGAATGGTTTCTGTTAGTGACAGTAACTTTTGATTTTGAGAAGTTTCTAGTTAATTATTCAGAACTCCAAAATAATTGAAGTTGCTAGACACGGAGAGCCAAATATCTTTAGATTACAAGAAATAAAGGAGTTTGTTATGAGTGATATTCTACACATCTGTATTGGGTTTGTGTGGCAAGGGTTTGGTAGCGGGGGGGCTACAGGGGTGGCTTCTGTAAGAAGCTCCTGGAAGCTTCCCCCATGCCAGATTGAGCCAAGGTCACCCAGCTCCAAGACAGACCCACTGCTGGGGGTCATCAGCGATGGGGGTAGCACCTCTGGGATAACACTTTTAAGAAGGGTGAAGAGAGAAAACCTGTGCAGCTGGAGAGAGGAGTGAGAATACTCTGCAGACACTGAGCTCAGTGGACCCCTCAGGAGGTGCAGGAGGTACTCCAGATGCTGGAGGACATCTCGTCTCCCAAGGAACAGGCCATGGGACAAGAGGAAATGGCCTCAAGTTGAGCCAGGGGAGGTTCAGATTGGATATTAGGAGAAATTTTGAAACTAAAAGGGTTATGAAGCCTTGGAATGGGCTGCCCAGGGCAGTGGTTGAGGCACCATCCCTGGAGGTATTTAAAAGCCAGGTTGACATAGTGCTTAGAGACATGGGTTAGTGATGGTTTTTATCAGAGTTGGGTTGATGGTTGGACTCGATGATCTGAAAGGTCCCTTCCAACCCAGACAATTCTATGATTCTATGTATAATTCCTTTACAGAATTACAGAGTTAATTGCAACACAGTTTAGTTTTTATGCAGTTTTTACAAAACATTAGCAGCCAGTCCTTTAAGGGCCCAACCTCCTGCTGAAGGTGTTGCATTTTGGGGAAAAGACCAGGTAGTACTTTCTAATACTTTCTAATGTAACGAATCATATTAGCAGAAATGTGCCACTGAGTCTGTTTTCTGTAAGACATTTCATATATTAATTCAAAACAGGCTGTATGTCAAAATTATGCCCATTATTGCTGCTCTGTGAATAGGACACACAATTTTAGAGGGACACCTGCAAGAGGAAATACTGGAAACTCTTTTCTGCTGGGCTGCTGTTGGCAGGATCTGTGGTGAGATGATTGCTCTCAGCTCTTGTATCTCCTGCTGAGAGGTTCTATGTGTTTGACAGAGATCAGTTGTCACCAGTTTATTCTGGCTCCTAGCACAGGAAGGAGAAAACTGCAGTTTTAAAACTGACGCTGGCAGAAATTAAAAATATATATTATATTGCCTGCAGGGAGTTAATCATTTTGGTGTTGTCCATGGAATAGTCAAGTGGGATCACTTCTGCAGCTGGTTTGATTTTTGGCAAGACCTTATTTTAGTTTCTTACAGAATTATTGTTTTGCTACTTCAGGATTATGTTTGGTTTCTGTTATACTCAAAGGTGAACATTAGCAGCCAGTCCTTTAAGGGCCCAACCTCCTGCTGAAGGTGTTGCATTTTGGGGAAAAGACCAGGTAGTACTTTCTAATACTTTCTAATGTAACGAATCATATTAGCAGAAATGTGCCACTGAGTCTGTTTTCTGTAAGACATTTCATATATTAATTCAAAACAGGCTGTATGTCAAAATTATGCCCATTATTGCTGCTCTGTGAATAGGACACACAATTTTAGAGGGACACCTGCAAGAGGAAATACTGGAAACTCTTTTCTGCTGGGCTGCTGTTGGCAGGATCTGTGGTGAGATGATTGCTCTCAGCTCTTGTATCTCCTGCTGAGAGGTTCTATGTGTTTGACAGAGATCAATTGTCACCAGTTTATTCTGGCTCCTAGCACAGGAAGGAGAAAACTGCAGTTTTAAAACTGACGCTGGCAGAAATTAAAAATATATATTATATTGCCTGCAGGGAGTTAATCATTTTGGTGTTGTCCATGGAACAGTAAAGTGGGATCCCTTCTGCAGCTGGTTTGATGTTTGGCAAGACCTTATTTCAGTTTATTATCCTGCTACTTCAGGATTATGTTTGATTTCTGTTACGCTCAAAGGTGAATTTTGACTTAATATGTTATTTTGTGTTCTGTGTGGAAGCTGAAGGAGAAATATTGATAACAAGAACAATATGAAGTTAAATCAGCTTCTTGTAAGAGCCCATTTAGTTCCATAAATTATGGAAATGTTATTTTATACCAATAATGTCTGAAAGTGGCAGAGCATTATCATGGTAAGTGCGTGTCTGGTGATGACAATGTCAATGTAGGTTTGAGACAAAAGTTCAGGAAAAGCTGAGCTAATATGGATTTTTCTGTTGTGATTTACTAGTTATTTCCCAACAATCCATGAGAAGACATCAGCAGCATCTAATTATCTACCAGGAAGAGCATGAAACTGTTAAGACAGAAATTTGAGGAGGATTTTAATCACTCTTTGTCCAAGTCTTTTTAGACACCGTGAGCTAAAAGCAATGTAGACACGGGGATTTTTAAAAAGCTTTTAATTTCTTGTGCTTCGCTACACTGCAGAGTATTTGAAGTACTTAGTGAATTTTGAAAAGGTAGTGAATTGTGTGGCTTTGATTTTCATTTCAATACTTATTTTGTATTTGAAGCTGATAAAAGTGAATAGGTGAACTTGCAGGATTTGCAGATTTTGGGTTTATGGATGAATGATGCACGTTATGGTCTCACCATCAGAGGGAGCTTGTATTTCATGAATGAAAAAGTTACTCTTTTGTTTATGCAGATAACTCTATCATTTGCTTTTGGCCCTTTGTTTTTAAGAAATGTT